GCCAACGTGGATCGATGTCGGGAGCGTCCGATACCGTCGACGACGGGGAAGGAGACGGAGAAGGCCCTGCATCCATTTGATGACTTAGGAACTCTACCGTTTTGATGTTGGAGTAAGGACGCTCCATTTGGTGGACAGGGGAGTCCAAGACATGGATGGTCGGGATCAGTGGAGAGGTTGGACCTCCGGTATCGATACTGTCATTGGAGCGGGAGGTACTTTAGGGGCATCACCCAGTGCAGCCACTGCTACTTTCCCCTTTTTTGCCGCCTTAAGGGGTTTGGAAGAGCCCTTCTTTGTGGACTTTTGCTCCTTAAATGGCCTGGACTTCTTTTTCACTGGCGTGGAAGTGGAGGATTGCGCCTTCAATGCTGGAGGCTTTGGCGTCGGTTGGCCGATATCAGAGGCAAGCGTCGATGCCGGAGCCGTTGAGGTAGATGGTTTCTTGGCGTCCATCGCTGAGGAAGGATGTCGGGCCAACTCAAGCAGGGCCACTTTAAGGCGCACAGCTCGGTTTTTTCGGGTCTGGTTTGAAAACCAAGCACAGTGGCGACAAGATTCGGGTCGATGAGACTCTCCGAGACAAAGTATGCAAAGGGTATGATGGTCAGGAGGAGCAAGTTTACTACCGCAACCCTTGCACCTATTAAAAAAGCCCCACTTCTTCTCCATAAAAACCAAAGTGAAGAAGAAAGCAGGGGTGAGGGGGGGTAGCCCGAAGGCCTGGCTGAGGTAAAGCGGCAACCTCCCCCTCAGCAGAAAATAAAGTTTTGGTTTTTTAAAGTTTTTGAAAGAACAACGAAGAAAAGGAATGAACTGAGGAAAAAATCCAAAAAGCCGTGAGGCAAAAAGCCAAAACACGCGAACCGATCAGACCGATGAAGAAAGAGGTCTTTCTAACACGGCGGTAAGAAAGGAACTGGCGGGATGTCCGCGCCCACCCCTCTGGGTATGTGCGGTGGGGTTCCTGCGCATGGCACGAAAATCCGTTAAAGAGCTTGCTACAATGCCGATCAATCCAGTGGGTGCGCACTAGATCCCATGGGTGTGAAGCACAGAGACCACTTCGAAGATCTTTACATTAATCCCCATTGAAATTAATTTTGTTTCAGCCCAGTTTTCCAGCCTGTCATGATCATCTTGTACCCTGTCAAGTAACTTTAAGCAATGTGATAGTAAGAATTCCATATGCTTCAGTTGAAATTTTATTTAGTTTCTTATATTTTCTTACAAAGCTGCAGTCACTTGGTGCTGTACCAACAAACCAGAGGTCATTTCCTGCAGGAGCGCACAGGAGCGGAGCTCCGGCAGTAAAGAGCTCAGGGGGCGGGCACATGCAACAAGCCCCACCCCCTGCTCCCAGCAGCCCTCAGTTAGAGCAACAAGCAGCCAAGTAAGCTGCAGAGCCCCCCCCCCCGTCCAAAACAGTCCAGTGGCACCTTTAAGACCAAGTTTTATTCAGGTACAAGCTCTCCCTCCTCTACGAGGACAGATCTGCACGTTCCCCCCCCCCCCATCGCTAGCAACCCAAAAAAGGCCAGTGGAGCC